CATAGTAACCCTAAATACAACAGAACGAAACACTGCTGGGTTCTGAGCCACCCTCACAATCCTTGCTATACCTGAGCCCGTCATTGCAGCCACTGTGTTAATCCATCTTGTTGAGGGTCTTCCCCTTTGTCACTGACCCTCCACTTTACCAAGCACGATATCCTTCTCTAGGGAATGGTCTTTTGTGACAACATGAACAAAGTAGGTGAGGTGAAGTCTGGTCATTCTCACTTCCAAGGAGCATTCTGGCTGCACTTCTTCCAGGAGAGATGTTTGTTCTGGCAGTCTATGGGACGTTCAATATTCTTCCCCAACACCACATCTCAAAAGTATCAACTCTTCTTCAGTCTTCCTTATTCATTGTTCAGCTTTCACATGCATATGAGGCTACTGAAAACATCATGGCTTGGGTCAGGCACACCTCAGTCTTCAAAGAGACATCTTTCTTCAGCACTTTACAGACATCTTCTGCAGGTTTGAGAAGTGCAATATGTGGTCTGATTTCCTGACTGCAGCTTCCATTGATGTTGACTGTGGAACCAAGTAATATGAAATCTTTGATGATTTCAATCTTACCTCCATTTATCGTGATGCTGCTTATAGTAGGTCCATTGTGAGGCTTTTTGTTTTCTTTATGTTGAGGTGTAATCCATACTGCAGTCTTTAGTCTTCATCAGTAAGTGCTTCAAGTCATCTTCACTTTCAGCAAGCAAGGCTGTGTGGTCTGCATATCACAGTTGTTAATGAGTCTTCCTCCAATCTTCTTCATATAGTCCAGCTTCTCAGATTATCAGATTGAATAAGTATGGTGAAAGGATACAATCCTGACTCACTCCCTTCCTGATTTTAAACCATGTAGTATCCTTTTGTTCCATTCTAACACTTGCCTCCTGGTCTATGCACAGGTTCCTCATGAGTACAATTAAGTGTTCTGGAATTCTCATTCTTCTCAATGTTATCCTTATTTCTTATGATCCACACAGCTGAATGCTTTTGCAGTCAATAAAACACAGGTAAACATCTTTCTGGTATTCTTTGCTTTCACCAAGATCATCATCAGCAATGATATTCCTTGTTCTACATCCTCTTTTGAATCCAGCTTGCAATCCTGGCAAGTTCCCTGTCGAGATACTGCGGCAACAGTTTTTTAATTATTCCAGCAAGATTTTACTTGCATGTGACATTAATGACATTGTTTGATAACTTCCACATTCTGTGGGATCACCTTTCTTTGGAATGGGAACAAATATGGATCTCTTCCAGTCAGTTGGCCAGGTAGCTGTCTTCCAAATTTCTTGCCATTGACAAGTAAGTGCCCCCAATTCAGCATCCATTTATTGAAACATCTCAATTGGTACTCTGTCAATTCCTGGAGCCTTGTTTTTACCCAATTCCTTCAGTGCAGCTTGGACTTCTCCCTTCAATACCATTGGTTCTTGATCACACAGCACCTCCTGAAATAGATGAACACTGACCAATGCTTTTTGGTACAGTGATTCTGCATTCCTTCCATCTTATTTTGATGTTTCCTGCTTCATTCAATATTTTGCCCATACCATATATCAGTATTGCAACTCAAAAAAACACAAAACAAACAAACTCACTGCCATCAAGTCAGTTCCAACTCATAGCGACCCCTCCTTGGGTTTCCAAGGCAGTATGTCTATGGAAGTAGATCATTCAGTCTTCCTTTCAAGGAGTGGCTGGTGGATTTGAACTGCCAGCCTTCTGGTTAGCAGCCAAATACCTTTCAGCTTGAGAAATGCCAAGTGTGTTCTCTTTCAATTTTCTAACTCCTGGTCTTTGCACATTTTATTATAATAATTGACTGTCTTCTTGAGCTTCTCTTTGAAATCTTGTGTTCAGCTCTTTTATCTTGTCAACTCTTCCATTTGCTTTAGCTGCTCTCTGTTCAAAGGCAAGTTTCAGAGTCTCTTTCAACATCCACTTTGGCCTTTTCTTCCTTTCCTGTCTTTTTAATGACCTTTTGCTTTATGGATGATGTTCTTGATGTCACCCCACAATTCCTCTGGTTTTTGGTCACTGGTGTTCAATGTGTCAAATCTATTCTTTAGATGGTCTCTAAATCCACTAGGGATATAATCAAGGTCCTATTTCAGTTCTCATGGACTTGATTTAATTGTCTTCAGCTTTAAGTTGAACTTGCATATGAGCAGTTGATGGTCTGTTCCACAGTCAAGTCCTAGACTTGTTTTGACTGAAGATACTGAGCTTCTCCATTGCCTCTTTCCACAAATGTAGTCAATTTGATTCCTGTGGACTCCATCTAGTGAAGTCTACATGTATAGCTGCCATTTGTGTTGTTGAAAAAAGGTATTTGCAATGAATAAGTCATTGGTCTTGCAAAATTCTATTGTGCGATCTCCAGTGTTATTTCTATCACCAAGGCCATATTCTCCAATTATAAGTGATTCTTCTTTGTTTCCAACTTTTGCATTCTAGTCACCAGTGATAATCAACACATCTTGATTGCATGTTTGTTTAATTTCAGATTGCAGAAGTTGGCAAAAATCTTCAATTTCCTCATCCTTGGCTTTGGTGATTGGTGTGCAAATTTGAATAACAGTAGTATTAACTGGTCTTCCTTCTAGGCATATGGATATTATCCTATCACCGACAGCACTGTATTTCAGGACAGATTTTGAAACATTCTTTGTGATGAGGAATGGCCCTCCATTCATCTTCAGTTTGTCATTCCCAACACAGTAGATCATATGGTTGTTTGATTCAAAATGGCCACAACTAGTTCATTTCAGCTCACTAATGCCTAGGATATTGATCTTTATGCATACCATCTCATTTTTGACAACTCCCAATTTTCCTAGATTCATACTTCATATATTCCATGTTCCAATTATTAATAGATGTTTGCAGCTGTTTCTTCCCATTTTGAGTCATGCCCCATCAGCTAATGGAGGTCCTGAAAGCTTTACTCCACCCATGTCATTAAGGATGATTTTACTCTGAGGAGGCAGCTCTTCCTCAGTCATATTTTGAATGCCTTTGACCTGAGGGGTTCATCTTCTGGCAGTATATCAGACAATATTTCAGGGCTATTCAAAGTTTTCCAGTAACATACCAGACAGAGTTTCATGCTATTCATATGGTCTTCACTGGCCAATTCTTTGAGAAGTGGATGGCCCCTTCCTTCTTCCAACGTTGTCTTTAGTCTGGAAGCCCTGCTGAAACCTGTCCACCATTGGTGACCCTGCTGGTATTTGATATACCTGTGGTATAACCTCCAGTTTCACAGCAAATGTAAGCCACCATAGTACAACAAACTTACAGACAAGGGCAGTTTGGCTGTAATGTTGTTGTGTCTACTTACACCTAGTTTGGTTGTAATGTTGTTAGTACCATCAATTCAGTTTCGACTCATAGCAACCCTATGCACAAAAGAACCTCAAACCACCTGGTTCTGCGCTATCCTCACAACCACTGTTAGATTTGAGCCCATTGTTGCAGCCACTGTATCAATCCATCTTGTTGAGGGTCTGCCTCTTTTTCAATGACCCTCTACTTAACCAGTAGAAGGACCCCATCCTTCTCCAGGGGCAAGTCCCTCCTGATAAAGTGTCCAGAGTACGGGAGACAAAGGCTCATCATGTTCGCTTCTAAGGAACATTCTAGCTGTACTTCTTCCAAGACAGATTTGTTATTCTCCTGGCTGTCCATGGTGTATTCAGTTTCTCAATATTATTGGTTATAATACAACATGTAAATCCATAGAATATTCAGAAAGCTAGTAGGGTAAGTTAAAATACCATTTTTTAATTACTGAGTTTTAGAGTTAAGATATTTAAATTCCATAACAGATTGGGTCTTAGACATTCCAGGCAAATAGTTAGTTACAGTAGATTATAAACCCCTGCCTACTTCACTGTGCTACTGTGAAAAAACTGATTAACAATAGGTTTGAAAAAATATTTTGCAGCCTGAAAAATGCTAGCTGAAAGTGAAATGTTATAGTGTCCTGGATAAGACAATAAGATCTCTAGAATATTAATGGGGTGGAGGCAGAAATTGCCCTCACCTTAAGCTACCAGATACTATGGACTCCTTAATCCAAGTAACAGCCACTAAACTGTCATGTTCTCTGTGTTCCCAGTGAACAAATCTATGCCAAGCATGGTGCCAGGTGAGAATAATATAGCAAAATACGAGGTGAACATGGTCCTCACCATCAGGGCACCTACAACTTAGCACAGTGCCTGGGAAAAGGTGGAAGATGATGAAATGCTGGTTGAATATATGTATGCACGATGAGCAAATATGAAGGCAGTAGGAGAAATAATACATGTTTAGCTGGAAGAAGAGACGCTTCAGTGGGCAGATGAAAACTGGATCTTAACACTAGAAGCCACCCTGATGTATATAACCCTGTGTGGTTTCAGAAGCAAAAGTATGATTAGATAGTGGTCTTTTATAAAGAGGTAGATTGGTTTTCCGAGGCACTATCACTATGGAAGTAGATTGCCCAACCTTCCTTCCAAGGAGTGGCTGGTGGGTTTGAACCGCCAGCCTTCTGGTTAGCAGTCAAATGCCTTAGGCTCTATGCTACCAGAGCTCCAAGAAAAAAAAATGTATAAAATGTCAGCCAAAAATAGGTTCCTTCTCACTAGAGAAGTTCCAGCAGAACCTGCACTGTCAGGTGTTGAATAGGCCACTCAAGTATCACTCAAGTTCCCCAGATTACATTTTAGGTCTTTTCCAAAATACTCTATCAGTCTATGCCAAACAGGGAGAGAAGAAAAATTATAGAGAGGAAGGCCAAGGGAGATGCAAATTGTAGTGAACAAAGGAGTGTCACAGTTTGACCATGAATACTGGGACAAATGTGGCAACCACGTATGGAGGTGAACAAGAAATGAAAAAGGTGCACATTTCTCAGTACATAGGCCTGGCACATTTGCTGAGCCACCACACCAACCCTGATCAACTGGGTCCCCCGCAATGCCTTCCATAGGTGTGATTCTTACCAAGATAGGAGCCTCCTGAGGCATCGTCCAGCATCCATTCTTCCCCTTTTCTCATCTGAGAAAACATATCTGGTTTGGGTCCTAAAAGTCCTGTTTTTGAAGGAAACAAAATGATCCACGTCTGTTTATGACAGAGATAAAATCATTGCAAGAATGAGACCTGGTCCTCAGAACTTTCTGGAAGGATGACTTGACAGAAAGGCCTAAGAAGGTGTAAAGGACAGCTGGATGGACTCAGCATTGTGTTTCCAGAAGGAGAAAATGATGGCTTGGGCCTGACACAATCTGATCCCAGGCCAGGTACCTCCCCTGTCAGAAGGAATAGAGGATCAACCCCTAGTCTCTTCTGAATCATTAGCACTTGGGTTCCAAAAGGGTCCTGGGCCTGGGCCTGGGCCTGGGCCACCAAGAATAAGCAAGTAGTAGTCTTGAAGACAACATCCTCATCTGGCCCACTTTCAACCCAATCCTCTGTATGGTTTCAGTTTTAAGGGTCTTGACTAACCAAAACCAGTTGCCATCAAGTCATCTCTGACTTATGGAAACCTATGTGTGTGTCAGAATAGAACTATGCTGATTTTTCAGAAGCAATTCACCAGGCTTTTCTTCTAAGATGCCTCTGGGTGGACTCAAACCTCCAAGCTCTCAGTTAGCAGACAGTACATTAATCATCTGCACCACTCAAAGACTTTTAAGGATCCCAAAGAAATCCCTTAATCTGAAAAATCTTACCTAGTGAGACCAGGTGGCTGTAGTTCTCCAGCATCACATCCCTATACAAGGCCCTCTGGGCAGGGTTCAGGTGCCCCCACTCGTCCTGGCTGAAGAGCACAGCTACATCCTTGAATGTCAATGATTCCTGTAACAGCAAACTCATTCTTATTGACAGGGGCTACCCCTTCACACAGCTCTCTGGGAAATTCTGAAACTGGAACTTGTTGAGATTTACATGACTATTAATACATAGGGAGCTGGTGTTCTGTGACAAGTTAAACAATTCTTAAGGCTCTCCTAAGGGATTAGCTTTGTATTAGACTTTGCTCCCTACTTCAAAGAAATGTATATAATAGAAAAGATGCTTCCTCAGCATAAGGACTTTATACTTGCTATTTAGTTTGCCCTAACATTTTCTCCCATAACCCTCAATCTGCCCATTCCTGCCCCTATCCTCTCTCCATAAGACCAAATCCTACTTCAGGTCTCAGCTTAGACCTCACTTCCTCAGCACACCCTCCCTGACTGCTCTTATAGCTAACTACAGAGGCCCAACAAAGCACTCTCCCATTTTACTGTGATTTTTATTTTACTTTTGGTCTTCCCCATTGGACTGTTAACTTCAAGAAGGTCGAGAGTTCCGGTAAGATAACTTCAAGAAGGTCAATAACACACTACACAAAACATTGTTCCACCTCCTACTTTGGTGAGTAGAGACTGGGATCTTAAAAGTTTGCAAGAAGCCACCTAGATGCAATGATGGGTCTCTCTTCATCCAGAGCAAAGAAGAATGAAGAAAACCAAAGACACATGGAAACAATTAGTCCAAGTGACTGGTATACCATGC